CGTCGATGGCAGTATCCCAATTGTGGGATACAGAAAGCGCAACGCAGAAGGAAACCAGCTTCTCCCCCGCCACAAGGTGGGAACCGTCCTGCTGCACCCAGGGGGACCAGGAGCCAGGGGACCAAAAGCACTTACTGGACTACTAGTTGAAATCATTAACTCTGGAAACACTCAATCTTCTTCCCCAGCAAAATGATCTGTTTGATGCAATGGTTTTCAGGTTTATAAGAACAGGGAACAATTGAATGACTCAGTATAGTAGCAAAACGACCTCACGTTTACATTTGCACAGAAGAAACAGTACTGTGGTCTACCTGCTTCAGAGGACGGAGCTCAAGAAGTTTACAGAGCTCTAAAGAAAATTATCTCTTGACTTCCACCCTCTCACCATAAACCATCAACCTTCCATTAACATTTAGAATATATATAATATTAATATTTTCATCCATTTAGCAGTGACAGCACAAGGGACGTGGCAGCTGGAGATCACATGAAGCCCAGGTCTATGGGCATCTGGACACACTTCTGGCTCCATGGAGATGGCACTTGGGGAGCGGGAGGAAGCCAAGCTCCGTTATCTCATTTCCAAGCAAGCACTCAGCATTTCTTTGCATAGCTATGCACACGAGAAAAATCAAGCAGAAAGACTGGATATTTTCTGAGACAGATTTTAAACAAGCTGGCACTGCATTGGTTGGAACGATACAGCTACTCCTGGTCTCTTCCAAGGGGAAGTCACTTGGCAAGAAGGAGGATCTTGCAGGTGACAGATGCTACCAGCTGCACTATTTTCTGTGTAAATAACTCCACAATTCCCTACCACGTTTTTAGTGTACCTAGTATTTACAAACTAACGTGTGGAATGGAAAATATTTTCATTCCAACTACTCTAAGAAAGAAAAAAACAAACAAAAAAAACCCCAAAACAAAAAAACCCAAACACCAACAAACCAAGCAAAAAAACTGCAAAACCAGAGATCAGGCATGGGGTTTTGTTTTGTTTTAAACATGTCTGCCAAGTACAATGAAGACACTCAAAGGTCAGCAAGAGTTCAACAGGAGCAGAGCCCAACTTTCTGAAAGGAGCCAATTGTTCCTGGAGGACACACAGGTAAAGTAACGGATGGATTTCAGGCTCCAGAGACAAGCAGTGTGTCAGGATGTGATTCCTCCCAGCCACACACAAAACAATCATGGTCAATTAAGCACTAAAAAAAAAATGCTAAGATCTGACCAGGAGGCTTATAGAGATTGTGGGGTCCTCTCTTACCCTAATATTCTAACAAGAGACCACAAACATAGAGGAGAAATCCAGACATTTCAGAAGATTTTGCCAATTATTTTCTTAGTCTAGATTAAGCAAAACGTCAGTAGAAATGAATTCCTGTTCAGAAAGAATCTGAGCTTAGAACACAGCAGTGTGATGAAATTACCACCCTGAAGAAGCTGCACCTGGATTCAGGGACGTGTGCTGGTTTATGATAGTGTGACCCCAAATGAATCCAGACCGAATGGGAAAAAGCAAGGAACCCTCACAGACAAAAATGCTTCTAAAAAGTTTCTGTTTGGTGAGGACTCACTTTTCCCCAAAACAACAGAAAAGCTCATCCTCAAAGCCGAGAAAACTCTTCTGCAAGTGATGACTTCACTGCTCATTAGAGAATTATATCACTAAAAGGAAGTGCCCGTAATATCAAACAGTATTTTGAGTGTAAAAAACTGCCAAAATACCAAATAAATTGTCCTTCCTTAACTGGATTTTATTTGGAACAAGCCAACAACGTATCCACAGTCATTTATGAAATACCATGTGTACATTTGTGTATGTGCTCAGAAAGCGGGGTTCACTGAGCACGATCCACAGCGGCCTCGCCGTCACTTCAGGTCAAGCACGGCGTCAAATTCTGTCTCACCTGCATCACGAGGTCACACCAGCAGAGAAAATTTATTATTTCCACATCAGCCAAAAAAGCTGAAAAAATTATTTAAAAATATATGTAACTCTGCTTATTACAAAAAGAAAACAGATTGTTAATTACTTAATGTAATTAATTAATGTAAGTTAGCATTTGCTGTTACTCTCAAAGCTGATCAAAAGTATGTTTTGTAACATACATTCAACACATCACGTAAGAGAAGGTGCAGCTAGAGCAGCTACAAAACAAATGGAAGACGACTTTATGGAACGAGCACCATCTTTCCTCGAGCACCAGCGCTATGAATGATGTCTTCATGAGCCTGCGCTGCCTTCTCCAGCGGGTATTCCGAGCCCACCATCGGCTTCAGCCAGCCAGCTTCTATGCCATCGAGGAGCGCTGACGCACATTCACGCCTCTCCTCCTGCGTGTAATAAAGACAGCACTTACCACAGGGGCTTTACACATCAGGAAAGTATTGATTATCGATTCATTAAACCAAATTTCACAACTCCAAATTATTTTATGATGTTCTGAGATTAAATCAAAACATAAAGGAATGAATAAATGAGTTACTTACAGTGAAATTCTGCTTTCATCCCTACAAACCGTTTTAGCTGGGAACAGAGAGGTGTTGGAATAAGCTAACAAAACGTTCTTCACAATAAAAACGTTTCCTACCTCCGTTGCGAGAAACAGACTAACTCCAATTATGCTAGATTCTTTACTCATCGTGTCTCTCGGATTGATCTCAACAGGACCTCTGCAGCCCACAACCTGGTACAAAGGAGTGAAAAGATAGCTCAAGATGTAACTGCTGAATGGTGTGATAAATGCACAAACCGAAGTCAGGGACAAAAACACTTACCATCACCCTTCCTCCACAGGACAACAGCTGCAAGTCAGCAGCGAGATTGATGTTAGAGAGCATTTCTACTATTATATCGACGCCTTCCATCCCTGTGTGTTCCTACAGAGGACACAACATGTTAATTACATCGCTCCAATTAGTGCTCGGGCACCACTGTTTATTTCATATGCTGCAGATAACACACACTTTACAGATCCGTGTTTAAATTGTAAATACAGCCTTTGTACTAAGGCTGACTGCTAATAATTTAATTTCAGCATATCTGGATATGCTGGATTATGACATGCTGCCCCACTGGAATTTGCTGGAATGCAGGCGTTTCTGAACACCACTGCCTGTGAGGAAAGCTCAGCTTCTCCAGCCTGGAAAAGTTCTCCCTTGGGCAAAAGTGAAAAAGGCACTACACTATTTCTCCTACATAAATCTACTTTAAAAAACTTCTGCAAACAACTGTTCACATTTTGTTATGAAGAAAAATACACACTGCATCACCTAGCCCCGATACATCCTTACCTTAATTTTGTCAAGGTAATTAGCTTCTCTGTGATTGAAGACTTGGTGAGCACCACTTCTCAGAACCATGCTCATGCCTTCCTCAGTTCCTGCTGTGCCCAAAACCTTCAAACCACAAGCTCTGGCAATCTGACATGTTGCTATTCCCACCTGAGGGGGGGCAGAGGTCGGGGAGAAAAGAAGAAAAAAGAAAAGTAAAAAAAAAAAGTCTTTTTTTCTCTTTCTTAGCATTTTAAATTTTATATACCAGCAACACGGAACTTGTGCATTTATAAAGTTGGCCTGGTAACATGTTTTTTTAGCCCTAAGTAATTTGGATCTTCCAGATAGGCAAACAGTCTTTTAAAAAAGAAAATATATTTACAGAGGCATAGTAAAGTTTTGTAGTCTTTCTGTTAGCTATCAGCATCTGATATAAATCCATGTGGAACGCTGTCTGTTAAAGCTGGGCCATATGTATTTGGTACAAAGCCAAGGAAATTCTTCTCTTCACAGAATGACCTGCTATTGACACCAGCAGTATAGAAAGAAAGAAAAGAAAATCTGCAAGCGCCAGTTTTATTAACGCCAGTTAGCTGATCTGCATTGTATCCTTCTGCAAACCAAGGGCAATGTATCTTTCCAAGGAGCATGAAATAAGTAAGACTAGAAACACTACATTTAGTTTAAGGGGAAAAAGAAGAGGCTCCAGTGCTGACTGTTGTTCTAGTATCTTCGAGTGAGATCTGAACTCCTCCTCAGATGCCGCTGTCGTAATCTCCTCCTTGCTGTCTCCCAAGTAACTAAGGAAGCTCTGGCCGTTAGCAGGAGCTGTTTGGTGCGTCAGCAGATGCTGAGCAGCAAAGCGCAGAGTACGGGGGATACATTAAACTAGAATGGCATGTGAAAGAGACCTAGAGTTAGCTCGTCATGTAAAACCACAGAAAAGTAAGTTCAGTTTCACAGGGTATCCAGCGATGATCGTGCACAGTCCAGAGTCTCTCCTTGTGCAGCTTGCTGTCAGCTAAGAGGAAAAAACATCCCAGAAACGCGGAGCTGCTGTGCACCAGCGGTGACTTCTCAAACTGGGAACAACTTGGACACATTTTAACACCACGACTTTCTGCCATTGGTTTTATGTCAGGAAGACTGGTCACAAAGCTTCCAGACCAGCTTCCGACTGCAGCAGCATTCTTACTATGTGTCCGCCTGCATTGAGGGCCCCACACAGCCACCCCTGCCGCTTCTGAGCTACCTGGAACAACAGGGTTGGCTCTAAGAAAATAGCATCCCAAAGTGTCTGAAATAAAAACCCCATTTGTTAATCCACTAATTGATATAAACGTGACCATAAATCACATCACAGACCAAAGCAGACACAAGGACAGAAAGCAGCATTTCTTATAACTTGCCTTCTCAAAATACTTACTCCCCCACTGGCACCGTGCACCAGCACACGTTCCCCAGCTTTGGCACGGCCCCTGAATGGAAAAACAGAAAAAATCGGCATTGTGATTGCAGGACATAACTGTTAAGCCCCAGACTGCATACACTGACACCAAATCCCAACTTTCACACGGTGTCACTCCCAATTTATGTTATGGCCGAAGAGGTGCAATCAGCCTCTTGGGGAAAACAAGGAGGCAAAATAAACCATACCATGTATGGATTTAAGCAATACGCAATTATGTCAACATGCAGCCAGCAGCTGGTGCTGAACAGGTTCAAGATCTTCACCTGTCACAGACCTTAAAATAAACCACACTAGTTCTAATCATTTCTTCTCTGAAATAAACCAGGTTTCTGGTCCTGAGCTCTCACCTAGCCGACACAAAGCCTGGCTTTTGCTCGTTGCACAGTCCAACGGCAGCAGCAGGACTGTACAGAGTCTCTGGCAGAGGCTCATGAGGAAAAGAGCTGGATCTGCTCTACAGCACACTGTCTGTTTAAGAACCTAGAACTATTCCTGGTTTTCTTCTCTAGTTAAAATACCAACGAGCACTGGAAAAGAGTTACACGTTTTACTACACGATACTGATTGAAGAAGCCTTGCCAGGTCTGTGCTCTTCAGAAGAGATACCTAACAGGAAAATACAGCCACTGGCTTCTGGGTAACAACTATCTGACAACTCCATCAGCATAATACATTTAATTGAAGTGTTTTAAACATGAAAATAGGGGCTTTGATACTTTAAATATTCAAAAGCAGAACACACAAACTTAGATCTGGCACCTTACTTTTGGAAAAGAGCCCGATAAGCAGTGAAGTAGGGAATTCCAATCGCTGCTCCTTGCTTAAAGTCCAATTTATCCGACAGAGGAAAGACTCTATCAGCTGCAGCAACGGCATAATCTGCATATCCTCCAGAGATCGTACCAGTGGTAAAAACCCTGTCGCCTTTCTAGAAAGGAGGGAAAGAAAATAGAGAAATTAATCATCTCCCTTATTTTTTCCTTAATATACATTAAGAATCCGTTCACAGAAGTTTAGGCTATTTTTAACAGCTCTCCTGTTAGAAATAACCAGTTCCATTAGTCACAGAGAGGACTTTTGTAAATGCCAATACATACAATCAATGCAGCACAAACCAGATCATTTCCTATACTTAAAGTGTCATAATTATAATACATATATAATGTACAATGTAACACACAAACTCACTGCCTCATTAATATTAACCTTAATGAACCTCAACACTAAAGAACTCCATCCCCAGATTCCAAATGCAAAACCTCAAAAGCTTTTACAAATACAAAAGAAACATTTCTCAATTATTTTTGTTTAAACGTGCAAAAAAGATGTACTCTCAATATACCCCAAGGCAACCAAATACTGCTGCTGCTCTCCAGCGGGCGCACTCAGACCCGCCGTTCAGCGGTGCCGCAGGAGCTGTACGTGCCCCGCGGTGCCCCAGCCCTGCGTGGGTGCAGCGGCCCGGGGGCCAGCTCAGCCCCCAGCCAGAGTCAGCTCCGTTAACCTTCGGTCACTGAGCTCTGGCTGTCCGACAGTTTGCACATTGACCTCAGCAAACACACAGCACATGGACTGCGTCAGCCTGGTCCGTCATCTCTCTCCCTCATTCAAGCAAAGAGCATCCCAATTTCCAGAAGAAACAAAAAGCAGAGACAGCAAATATAGCAAACCACTGATACGAAAATACGAACAAATAGATTCTTCTCTCTAGATAAACAAATCTCTTATCTCTCCTACAATAGTTACATAAACTCAAAGTCAGGAAATTCCAAAATAATTTTAACTACAATTTTCATGTTTATCTGAGACCAACAGCCCAGTGACTTGAAAGGAAGAACAGATTTTAAAACTAAATACATTTCATAGATATCTTTTAGCAAACTGGTAATTTCCTTCTCCTCTCCCAAGGCTTTCCCCCTGAGAAAATCTAAGTAAAACTACTAGGCTGGAGTAATAAAGTATTTGAACAGGTTTAACAACAAACATGTAATTTATGGGGCTTTAGAAGTCACTAAAATAAAAGCTAATTCCATTTCCCAAGGAAAAAAAGAAAAAAAAAAATCTTCACAGAAAATTTTTCAGTTCTCCATGAAATCATTACCCCAAACAGGAAGCATCCAACTCCAAATATTTCTGCAACGCCACAGAAACAGTTCTGAGCCACAACTTTTGCACACCTGGTATCACCGCTGTGAGCAGACACGGTGAAGTGCCTCTTCTGAGACCTTTTAACCCCTGGAGGTCACCAGCATGAGGGATTTCCCCACAGCTCGGTCTGCAGGCCGGACTGACAGTACAGCCTCCCTGCGTGTTTTCACCCGTCAACGAGGCTGATCCCCCCCCAAATGATTACGTGATCACAAGCAAGGAAAACAGCACCAGGAGGACAGCCATCACACAAAGAGGACACAACAAGCACTAATTAATTAAAACCCAAAATACCTTGAAGGCAGTCACCTGCTCCCCAACGCCTTCTACAACACCAGCCACGTCCGTGCCAGGAGTATAGGGCAAAGCTGGTTTCCTGGCGTAGCTTCCGGAACGAATATACGTCTCGACAGGATTTACACCGCAGGCACGGACTTTAATTAACACCTAGAAGAAAAGATGTTTCATAAGCTGAGTTCGAGCCTGGATTCACAGCGCAGAATCGCTGCGTTGGAACTAAACCCTGAGTCAGCAAAAATCCAGCGTGGACCTGTTCTCAATAAAACCTTTAGATGTACCGAGCAGCAGCACAAAGCCCACGTTTGTCACACCGATGTCTCTTGTCCCGGGTCAAAATCCACCCACTCCCGATGAAACGCTTTGGTTTGTCGTCTCCACCCCGTTCCAAGCGCAGCTAATACCGGTCATTTCACCCCCCGGAGCCCACACGCACCTGATTGTCTCTCGGCTCAGGGACTGCGACACCGCGCTGGAGGGTCAGCACCTCGGGGCCACCGAACTGCAGCACCCGGACGGCTCTCATCACGTCGGTCG